GCATTGTATAGATGGCACCGCATCTGTTGCACCACGTCGGTTGCACCACCTAGACTGCGCCCCACCTCAATTGCACCACACCGGTTGCACAATCTATTCGTGTATATATATATATATATATATATTTATTTATACACCATTCCAGACTGCGCTGCATACCTTACACTATTACACCACGTAGACTGCATCACACACATTCCCCCACAAGGATCGCACCGACTCAATTGCACAGACTACGGTGGCCAACATGGGTTGCACAATTCAGATTGCACCACGTAGATGGCACCAAATATGATGCTCCACATAGATTGCACAACATTGATTGCATGCTATCTATTTCATTGCAACGGTTGTACCACATGCATTGCACCACGTAGTTAGCAACACGTATATTGCTCACATACATGGGGTAACCTAGATGTCTGTAAACACGCTGTTGTTTCGGGTCCACGCTGGCCAACATAGGTCCTTGCAGCTTTTGTTGCGCCTTGCAGTTTTGAGCTGCAGCTTTGCCGTTCTAGATTCAGCTTTGGATTCCTCGAGCGAGACGAGAACAGTTTGGAGAGTTCTGGGGAGGCGATAAGTCCACGGCGCCATCGACACGACCTGCAACAAAAACTAGTTTGTTTATCATTGCCATTCCTTTTGCATAGCAATTTCTGTTAAGCTGTAGTTTTGCCATTCTGGTTTCAGATCTGCATCCTGCGGGCTAGACAAGAGCGGTTTGGAGACGTCTAAAGAGGGTGTGATGTCCACGGCGCCGTCGGCCCGACAAGAAAGCAGTAATTGTGCATTGCACGTTTTGATCCAGTTGGTTGCGGCAAGCCTCGCCGCCGCGCCTGCGCATCACCGCAACAGGCAGGCGCTTGAGTGTAGGAACTGTGCAAATCTTACGAGAGGTCTGAATTGAGACGGATCGTGGACTCGTCCTTGTCTTCGCCCGCGCGATAGGGAGGAGGAAGAGAAGGAGGAGGAGCAGGAGGAGGATGAGGAGGAGGAGGAGGAGGAGGAGAAGGAGGAGGAGAGGGAGAACATGAGGACGAAGAGCAGACTGTTTCTTGGGGCCCTCTTGGGGCATCCTCAGAGCCTCCCAGGGGCCTCTTAGGGACTCTTTGGGGGTTTCCTTGGGCCTCTTGGGGGCCTGTTGGGGCTTCTTGGGCCGTCTTACGGGATTCCTGGCCCGTCTGACGCCTGCGGAGGCCGTCTTGGAGGCCTCCCTGGGACGTCTTGGTGCCCTCCTGGGGCGTTTCAGGGCCGTTTTGGGGCCCTCTTGGGGGCCCGTTGGGCAATCTTCGGGTCCTCTTGGGGCGATTTGGGGCCCTCTTGGGGGCCTCTTGGGCTGTCTTGGAACTAACTACATTGGAGGCCTCTTGGAGGCCTCTTAGAGCGTTTCGGGCAGTCAGAAGCCCCAACAGGCGAGATCCCCAAAATCCATTACAAACCAAATGATCATCGTTCGCTTGTACCGCCTCGGACTCTCCTGGAGGGCCTCTTGGAGCCTTCTGGGGTCGTCTTGGAGCCGTCTTGGGCCGCCTTGAGGGCGTTTTTGGCCGTCTTGAGGCCGTCTTGGGAGCTTCCTGAGCTTTGTTCGGACATCTTGAGCCGCCTTGAGGCCATCTTGCCCTTTGGACGCCGAAAACACCGCCGGAGAGCAAATTCGAGGCAGGCGATCTCAGAGGCACGCGTGCCGTTCGGGGGGATGTCGGGTCCTAGAACTTCCCTGACAACAAAGGCGCCATTCTAACACGCCCCAATTGATAAGGCCCGGGGGCGGATTGCGTTGCCGTTTTTTTTAGTTGCGCTGCAGCTTTGCCGTCCTAGCTTCAGGTTTGGATTCCGCGAGTGTGACAAGGGAGGTTTGGAGAGGTCCCAGGAGGGTGTGAAGCCCACCGAGGGTGTGAAGCCCACGGCGTCATCGACATGACCAGAAAGGACAGTTGTTCTAGCATTGCAGTTTCTGTTGCGTTGCAGAGCTCGTGGCGTCGTACTGTTTTTTTGCGCTGCAGCTCTGCCGTTCTGGCTTCAGGTTTGGTGAGGTCGAGGAAGCTGTGAGGTCCCCGGCGTCCGCGGTCCCCGACCAGATATCAGTTGACTGTCCATTGCAGTGTTTGTAGTGCGTTGTTGTTTTGTGTTGCATGTGCGTTGTTTTTGTCCTGCTACAGTTCTGCCGTTCTGGCTAAATCGATGGACTCCGTGAGTGAGACGGGAGTAGTTTGGAGAGGTCTGGGGAGGGTGTGAAGCCCACGGCGCTCAAGAAGATTAAGGGAACTGACCACGAGCGAGCGGACATGCAAGACCCACGTCGCGAGGAAGATGAATGGCAAGGGGACAGAGAAGCATGACGCGGAAGAGGAAGGCCAAAAGGACGAGCAGGTCATCTGATTTAACAAGTCCGCGATGAAAGAAATAGAGGGGGACAGGATGAGGCAACAGAAAGGCATGACCATGACGGGGGGACGACGACGACGTGCCCGGGCAACGCAGACGCAGACAGCGCCAATTACAACAGCACCAATTGGCACGAGCGTCAGAAATAGAGATAATATGAGGAGGAGCGGGAGGTGGAGATACAAAGCATGGAATATCAGCAGCGATATGGGACATATCAGCTCCAGTGCCCCCACAGCATAGTAGGGCGCTGGGGCGTAAGAATTTCCCGCTTCAAGCGGCTTAGAACAGTGACAGAGAGAGAGAGAGAGAGAGAAACACAAAAGAGAGAGAGGGAGAGGGACGGAGAGAAAGAGAAGAAGAGAGAGAGAGAGAGAGAGAGACAAGGATTAAGGAAAGGAGGGAGGGGGTGAGAGAAGCACAAATCAAGAGACGAGAGAGAGATAATGACAAAGAGCAAGAGACGAGAGAGAGAGAGAGAGAGACCGAGGGGGGTGGAGACGGAGTCGGAGACATCTGCGGGAAAGACGATGGACGGGGGGAGGAGGAGGACGACGAGGAGGAGGAGGAGGAGGAGGAGGAGGAGGAGGAGGAGGAGGGAGCGCGAGAGGGGGAGCTGGAGAGGGGGGTCGAAGGAGGGGACATATGACGTGGGAGGAGGAGAGTGTCAGGAGCGGGTAAGGGAAGGGGGGAGAGCGCACCGACTCGCCCCGCACCGATCCTGCAATCCTCAGCCCTTCCCCTGCTCCCACTTGCCGCCCCTTCCCCATCCCCCGCGAGCGCAAGAGCGCGCGCTGGAGGGTGGAGGAGTGGGAGGGGGGGAGGAGCGATAGAGGGGGAGGAGGAGGGGGAGAAGGAGGAGGTGATGGAGGGGAGGGGGAGGGGGAAGAGGTGGAGGAGGCTGAGGAAGAAGAGGAACAGGGGGAGGGGGACGCGGACGTGCTCCCTCGGTCGCTGGGGCAGGGACTCACGGCTGTCGACATCGGAATGGTCCCCCCCGGTGTGTGCAATGCCGGCCCAGGTTGCAGATGCCCAGCATGCACGTGCGCAGGGCTGCGCACCACGCTCACGACAGCGACGTCGTGGATTCTCAGAACATCCAAGGGCTGGTCAGCCTACGGCCGACCCCAGCCCCGGACGACATCCGTCCTCTGCGCACTCGCAACCCTTATGTTCCCGACGCAGGGGGTGCTCGGACGGGGCGTGGCGGGACCGCCGCACGACCTGGCCTGCACGGCCGACACATGGTGCCGTGGCGAGCGGGCGGCAGCCCACGCCCTGTGCGCGCTGGTCTGCAGGCCGCGACGAACTCGGACGGCAGGCCCCCCCCAGTGCTCTTGACGCCCCCGCCCCCCCCCCCGCCCGGACGAGGAGGAGGAGGAGGAGGAGGAGGGAGGAGGAGGAGGAGGAGGAGGAGGAGGAGGAGGAGGAGGAGGGAGGAGGAAGGAGGAGGAGGAGGAGGAGGAGAGGAGGAGGAGAGGAGGAGGAGGAGGAGGAGGAGGAGGAGGAGGGAGGAGGAGAGGAGGAAGGAGAAGGAGGGAGGAGGAGGGAGGAGGAGAGAGGAGGAGAGATGAGGAGTGGGGAGGAGGGAGGAGGAGGAGGGAGGAAGGAGAAGGAACACACACACACGCACACACACAGACACACACACACACACACACGCGCACGCACACACACACACACACACACAGACACAGACACAGACACAGACACACACACACACACACACATGCGACGTGACGTGCGCTTGACGGCGCTGTCTGGTGGCTCACACCCCGAGGCCATGCTCCCCGCCCCTGCCCGGCCACCTGCTCGCTCCGCGCGACTGCCTGCCTGTCTGCCCTTCCTTCCTCCCCCCTGCGTCGTTCGCCTTCCTACGCCGCCCCCCCCTGCGGGCAATAGTTCTGTCCATATCCAGTGCAGCATGGAGTTTCGGGCTCCCTTCCGCAGAAACCCGAGGCGCACTGGATATGGATGAACTTGCCCCCTAGAGGCTCGACTTTTGTCCATCTCCAGTGCGCCTCGGCCTTGCGGCGCCCCTCCCAAGAAAGTCCAAGACGCATTGGATATGGATAACAGATCTTGCCCGCCCTCCTGGGCCCGGAGGCCGCCGTTTCCCTCCTGCGCGCGGTGCTGGGCAAGCGGCGCCCGACGCCCCTGTTTTCCTCCTCTTCCTCTCCGCCCTCCGAGCGCCGAACTCCGACTGTGCTCCGAGCGCCCCTGGTCTCTGACGCGGGCCCTCCCCGTAGGGGGCCTCGCGGAAAAGGGCTTTCGCGGCCCACTTGTTCCTCTGGCCCCAGAAACCCGTGTCTCCGCGGACGCCCCGTTCCAAGTCGCATGCGTCCGTTGCCGCCTGTCCGCCCCTGCTCAGATCGGCTTGGGCTCTACCCCAATGCCGAGCACGCGAAGCCACAGCTGGCGCCTTTCGGGTGTCGCATGCGGGCTGCGCGATCCTCTGCCAATGGCGTGAGTGCGCCCCCCCTCCGCGTCGAGGGGGAGGGGGAGGGAGATGAGGATGAGGGAGAGGCGATGGAGGAGGAAGAGGAGGAGCACTCCCGCCTCGCCCTCATCCTTTGGCTTCGCCCCCTGGGAGAGAGACCTCACCCCCGAAGGTGCCCCACATCGCTGGCTACGGGCTCAGGAACGGCGGCCGCCTGGCGGTGGTCCCCGACACGGCGATGGGCTGCGCCTGGGTCGGGGAGCCCCCTGGCTGCGCAGACCCCCCGGGTGCATGCAAGCAAGGCAGTGATAGGGGACCTTTTCGCCGGAGTGACCTTCGGTGGACGCCTGTCGAGGGGCGCGGAGAGAGGGTCCAAGCCCAAGCCCAAGCGCGCCGGCCGCCACGGTCGCATCCAATGCAACGGTCGGACAGCCGTGCACCAAGCGCCACCCTGTCCTAGGGTCACTCTGACGTGTAACCGAGTCGCCGTTTCGTCGTCGGCGTCGGCGTCGGCCCTTCGCCGTGTCGCCGTCGTTCTGGGCCTTGTCCCCGTCGTCGTCATTGCCGTCTGGTCCCGCCAGATCTCCGAGCGTCGCGGTCAAGAGACGCGGCAGGCGCTTTTTCGCAGCACGCTTCCCAGGGCCGTTTCCAAACAATTCGGGCGTCCAGGTGCCGTTTTCGGGCTTGGAGGGAACCGCAAAACATTGGCGAACAACCCGCGGCCTCAGGCGAAAGAGTTGCTCTAGGGCTTCTCGTCATGAGCGACCCACGGCGTCGGAGATCGGGGGGCGTTGAATGAGGAAAGGTCTCTTGAGGTGCAGTTCCAGACGCATTTCTAATTCCTGCCGAGGCAGAGTCGTCTGGGCGCGATTTCCCAATTATAGACCATGATTACGCAGCGAAGACAAATTCATATGTCCTACACAACGGTTCCTCGCTGCGGAATGTTAGCCATAGATGTTGTTTCTATCGGTTCTTTTCGGAACGCAGCGCCGTGTGGTATCCAGCTGGCCGAGACTGTCATTCTGCGCTCGCAATTGAGTGCTTCAACGTGCCATGGCGGCATGACGCTCGCGTCGGCCGTGGACGACGTGGGCCCATGTCACCCAGTCGAGCCGTGCACTTGCTATTGCTACCGGCTGCATGGTGAAGGTCAAGAATGGTCTGGTCATCGCAATCGCGCGCTGAAAGATGAACGGCGACAACATAGGGGAACAAAGCCGAACAATGCAATACGCATGTTCCAAACCCGCCGACAGTGCTCATTGACCAGGGATGGATGCCGAGAGGAGGGGCGCCAATTGGACGCGATGCTCGTTGGCGTTGTCTCCGTGGCTGCAGGTGCGGGCATGCACCCGAACATGCAGACTCACGCTGCAGTGTTGTAGTCAGGTTGCACCGCCGGCCCGACGCAGAAAGCCCAGCCGTGGGACGCGCCTGGGAGGCAACGGGCTGGAGCCTGTCAGGCTGCGCTCCAGCGGTGGGGGGTGCAGTCAATGAGTTTACAGTGCCGTTTTTTTACACATGCTCCGGGACCATGTATTAAAAATAAAGGGTTGATTAATAAATACAAGGATGAGTTTATGTATTAATTTGCTCGTAAATGAATCATGCATTAAAAAACCTATCTGTTTTAACATCCTATGTATTAAAAAAACTGCCCTGTAGTACAAACATCGAAGAAGAGACAACGGCATAAACATAAACTGCTGGCGCTCCGCACGGATTTCTTGGATCTACGCTGGGCACCCCCTGGCGGCGCCTCCGGCGACGCCCCTGGTTCATTCCACGCGCCAGGGAGGGGGGGTCTGGCGCAGATCCACGAAATCCGCGCGGACCGTCAAAAGTCGATGGAGGACCCTAGGGGAACGAAAAGTGACATAAACATACAAACTCGGAGGTCCTTGTGGATTTCTTGGATCGGCGCTGGGGCCCCCCGGCGGCGCCTCCGGCGCCGCCCCTGGTGCACTCCACGCGCCAGGGAGGGGGGGTCTGGCGCAGATCCACGAAATCCGCGCGGAGCGCCAAAAGTGAATGTTGATGTCTTCGCGAATACGCAGCTCGAGGCGGCCTTCAGTCCCCATGACATCCCCCTCCTCCCACCCACGCCTTCCCGTCTTCCTCCCATCCCTTTCCGTCTTCCGCTCCATTTCCCCCATCCCCCTATCGCCCGATGCATTGATAATCGCCTCCCTGCCTCCCTGATTAACGAACGGGATCCTCCCGTTTTTCCTCACGCTTTTTGATTCCAAGCCGCATCAATTAGCATTGCCCCCCCCCAGGAGGCTAACATGATCCAAAACCTGAGGAGAATCAACGATTCGTGCCTTCTCGCTGATGCCTCTTGGACGCTACTACCGCTCACCGCGCCCCCCCGTCCAGATCCAGGGGAAGTAGGTAGGGGAGGGGTCAAGTTCGCAGCAGGAGCGCCGTAATCTGTCTCGCTTTTTCCCACCCGCCCTCCCAACACATCAGCACGTACGGAAGAGGGAAACAATTAGTGAACACCCCCCCTGCCCCCCAAACTCAAGGTTGGCACGCGCGGGGGAGACTGCGGTCGAGGTGCAACTCATCAGACCCACCGCCAACTTTGAACATTGGGGGGAGGGGGAGGCGTTCACAGATGAATGTGGCATGAGTGTTCGCTCTTTTTTTCCGAGGCCTGTCTGTCTCGCTTAATCCCACCCGCCCTCCCAACGCATCAGGACGTAGCACCCGAGTCTCAGCATGTTTCAGGAGGAGAAAAAACACGCAGACACAATTAATCGTCGATTCCCCAGAAGACATAGGAAAATATGGGGAATCCTTTTATTTGTGTGTATTTATTTGTGTGTCCCCGGGCCCCTTCAATGTTCACCAGTCGCCATCGACAGCCAGCGGGAGCCGGTGCAGACGCCAGCCAGGTGCCCGACGCCCACGAGGTGCGCCGCACATGCCAGGTGCGCCGCGCGCACCAGGCGCGCCTCACTGGGCAACATCTCTGCGCACATCGGCGCCCCCACCGTCGCGGTCAAACACAACTGCAAAGTAACGGCGGGTTTGCCAGCACTGCGTGCTGCGTGGGGTCTGGACCCGCACGTCTTCGCTCACCACCCACCAAACCACCCCAACCCAACCCGAAGGCCCAAATTTATCCTCGATTTCCAGTGGGGGGGGGTCGGGGAACGTTGAGAAAACACGTGGTATCCGTACCCCCCCCAACCCGAAATTCGGGTCAAATTCGGGTCTTCGGGTTGGGTTGGGGTGGTCTGGTAGGTAGTCATTCGCGACACAGCCATCCTCCGCCGCCGTGCCCCGCCTTCGAGGACACTCCCGCGCACACGGCGGCCTCGGGTCATCGCTCGGCTCTCCGAGGCGCGGCTGCTGGGACACGTCCCCGAGGTGGCAAGACCGCGGAGAGCCCACAGAACGCCCACCTCGCACTTCAGAACCCGCCCCCCCACGTCCTCCTCCTCGTCCTCCTCCTCCTCCTTCTCCTCCTCCTCCTCCTCCTCCTCGTCCTCCTCCTCCTCCTCCTCCTCCTCCTCGTCCTCGTCCTCCTGCTCGTCCTCCTGCTCGTCCTCCCCTTCGAGGAGACTCCCGCGCACAGCGTGGGCGTGCCCGGCTTCCTGAACGACGGCGTGTCCGAGCCGTCCCTGCTGCAGGCGGGCGCCCGCGCAGCCGGCGCGCAGCTCGTGGGCCTGCGCGCCGACCACGCTGCGGCAGGGGAGAGGCTCAGCCACGCGCAGAGGGGGGGGTGGGGGGAGGGGGGAGGGCTTCTTGGAAGCACCCCTGCTTCTTTAGGAGGCGCGGGCCTTATCTGTAGATGTGAGGCCGGCGCCTTCTAAGAAGCAGCCTCCTTCTAAGAAGCAGCCTCCCCCCTCCCTCCACCCCCTTGTGCGCGCCGCCAAGGGGAGCGAGGACCAGGAGACTGTCTTTCTCGAGCAGGGGATCGACTGCAGGATTGATGTAGCCCAAAACATGTCTTCCTTCGAATCTGCGAAACCATATGCAGAACTCTCCATCGATCGACTAGCACTTGACATCTGTTCCGTAGATCCGCTGGAAGAAGCAACTCTGGGGTAACTCCATTCTGTAGTCGATCCCCTACTCGAATGTTGCAAGAGTCCAGCGAAATCGGGATGATCGCCCCCCCCCCCCCTTTCCCTGCCAGACAACTTGGCCGCGTTGGCTGCGCAGGTCCGAGGAGGGTACGCAGCACTGATGCGCGCTGGCATACGTGGGGCCTCCCAGAGCGAAAAGGCTCGGTTACTCCAAATCCCTTATTAATCGACCCCCCCCCTAAAAAACCAGACCCCCCTCCAATTGCGACCTAATATTCCGGACCCCCTCTTCGATGGGGCGCCTTAATAAACCAGACCCCCTCAGCTCCAATCCAAAGAAAGCGACCCAATAAACCGGACCCCCTTAATGACCAAAAAGGCGCCTTAAAAAAACGGACCCGGGGAACGATTAATAAGGGATTTGGAATATTGGCCGGCAACTCCCCCCCGAAAGATGGACAACCCGGGCGATCGCCGAAAAACGAAAAACTCTTTCCGGGACAGGCCAGGTGCTCCGCGCAGTACCTGACATCCTAGCCCTTCCACCCATCCCTCCCCATGGCGCGGAGCTGCTCTCTCTATCCGCCCACGCGTGTCATAGCGGACCTGGAATTCCAAAAATATTCCATCGTGAATCGGAAAGGGGAAGCCGAGCAGGATGAAGATGAAGAAGGACGAGGACGACGACGAACAGCAGCAGCGGAAATTCGAGTGGAAAAAGCAGGAGGAGCGGGAGGACCAGGGAAAGCGGAGGAGGTGAGAGGAGGGGGACGATAACGATCGAGGAAAGACCCGGGACCAGAAAGTAGTGGCCCACGTTGGGGCAAGAGTGCCATTCTGCACGACGGGACCAAGTGCCTATCCGAAAATGGGGCCAACGTTGCAGCGGCAGCACCACTTGCGAGACACCGAAAACACTCGGAGTGCGAAAAAGCATAAGAACAAACCACTGTTGTCTCATTCCTTTTGTAACAAACAATACGCGGAGAGGGTGGAACATCTCCAGGACAGAGTCAGGGGAGAGAGGAGGTGTGAGTGTGGAGGTGGAGAGGGGAGAGGCGAGAAGAGGAGGAGGAGGAGGAGGAGGAGGAGGAGGAGGAGGAGGAGGATGAGGACCAGGGGGAGGAGGGGAGAGGGGCAGAGGCAAGCCAGGTGCGCAAGCATCATATCTGACATCCCACCCCTCCCTCCCATCCCTTGTCATTGCGTAGATCGTTCCTCTTCTCGCACAATTGGATGTCGAACAGGGCAAAGGTCCCGAGGGAGTACGCGATGCATGGTATAGCACAGCACGGCATAGCATGGCATCGCGTTGAGAACGCGATGCGTTTCGGCAAGAAGGTGAGATGGAAACCAGAAATGGCACAGGACGGAAAATTCAAATGGACGGTTTGGAAAGCGGGGAGCGCAAAATGAGATTACCGCTGCAGCGGGACGACGAGTTCGAATGACCGAAGCCGTGGAAATGAGACACGCGCTGCAGCGCCCGCACGATTTGGGAGGGTGAGAAGCGCGGAAATTGCAGGAGCGCGATCTATAAGAGCCGGAGCACTGACATGAGGTTAGCGCCACAACGGGAACATGATTTGGAAGGACTCGGAACGGGAAATCGGAGCAAACGTTGTAGCGGGAATGCAATTCTGAAAGGGCTGAAAACGTTCAGGTTGGAAAAACACATGTTAATGATGAATTCGGCGGCAGCCCGTTGTACAAACAATACGCGGAGGAGGCCAGGACACTTCGCCAACGTTTTTCGGGGGAGAGTGGAGAGTATTTTATCCATATTGTGTAATTCTACCGAGGACAAAAGACAGAGGAGGAGTAATGGAGGAGGAGAGAGGAGAGAGGATGATAATAGAGGAGGAGGAGGAGGAGGAGGAACATGAGGAGGAGGAGGAGGAGGAGGAGGAGGAGGAGGAGGAGGAGAGGAGAGGAGAGAGGATAGAGGAGAAGAGAGAAGAGAAAAGAGAGAGGGAGAGAGGAGAGATAAGATTTGAGAGAGGCAAGCTAGGTGCGCTCGCGCCATATCTGGCATCCTAGCCCTCCCACCGATCCGTTGCAATTGCGCTGAATTCTTCTCTATCCGCCAACGCGTGTCACAGCGGATAAGGAGCTCCAAAGAGAACCCCATCGTGTTATGCGCAATCGGAGTGAAAAGGGAGGAGGAGGTGACGGATGAACAGGAGGATGAGCAGGAGGACACGGAGGAGGAGGAGGAGAATGGAGGATGACGAGGACGAACAGCAGCAGCAGGAGCAGAAATGGAAGGAGCGGGAGTGGCAGGATGACCAGGGGACGGCGGAGGGTGGGAAATGAGGACGGCGACAACGATGAGGACAGACCCAGATCCAGGAAGGAGTGGCCCACGTTGGGCCGAGAGCACCATTGCGCCGATCTGAGAATGAGGCCAACGCTACAGCGGCAGCACCATTTTGAGACACCGAAGAGGAGAGATGAAAGATTCAAGCTAGCTGCGCTCGCGCCATATCTGACATCCTATCCACCCCTGTCATCCATTCCCATTGCGCAGTCTCTCCATTTGCAGACGCGTACCACGGCCGACCCGGAACTCAAACAAATCATCGTGCAATGCGCAATCGGAGAAAAGGGGAGTTGCGCACATAGGAGGAGGAGGAGGAGGAGGAGGAGGAGGCGGAGGAGGAGGAAGAGGAGGAGGTGGAGGAGGAGGAGGAGCAGCAGCAGGAGGCGGCGAGCTAGCAGGAGGATGAACAGTAGGGAAACGACGAGGAGGACGTATGAGGAGGAGGAGGAGGAGGAGGAGGAGGAGGAGGAGGAGGAGGAGGAAGGCGACAGCAGCAGCAGGAAATGGAGTGCAAAGGGCGGGACGAGCAGGAGGACTAGAGGAAGGCGGAGGGGCTGCGCAGGAGGAGAAGATAGAGAAGAAGGAGGAGGGAGGAGGAGGAGCAGGAGGAGGAGGAGGAGCAGGAGGAGGAGGAGGAGCAGGAGGAGGAGGAGGAGGAGGAGGACAATGACGAACAGGGCGAATTGGCCGCGCGTTTCGCCCGCCGCACCTTCCGGCACCCGGAGGCCTCGGAGGCCAATTGCTTGTGGGCCAGCATGGGTGCTGAGCGGCGCGAAGGCTTGCTGTTTCCTGCCGGCCCTGGCGGGGGCGTCCTCCGTTTCCAGATGCCTCCCGCGGCCGACGGACTGCTTCCCCGCGGCGCACTTCGGGGCCGCCACCCTGCGCAGGTCGGGCGCCGTCCGCGCCGTGCCAGGCGGGACGTGCCGCATCCCGGGTCGAGGGAGAGACTGCGAGGGTGTGTGTGTGTGTGTGTGTGTGTGTATGTGTATGTGTATGTGTATGTGTATGTGTATGTGTATGTGTGTGTGTGTGTGTGTGTGTGTGTGTGTGTGTGTTGTGTGTGTGTGTGTGTGTGTGTGTGTGTGTGTGTGTGTGTGTGTGTGTGTGTGTGTGTGTGTGTGTGTGTGTGTGTGTGTGTGTGTGTGTGTGTGTGTGTGTGTGTGTGTGTGTGTGTGTGTGTGTGTGTGTGTGTGTGTGTGTGTGTGTGTGTGTGTGTGTGTGTGTGTGTGTGTGTGTGTGTGTGTGTGTGTGTGTGTGTGTGTGTGTGTGTGTGTGTGTGTGTGTGTGTGTGTGTGTGTGGGGGGGGGGGGGGGGGGCCAGCGGGCCGACCGGAGCCTACAACATTCGCAGGCTTGCAAGCAGCGGGCCCGGCCAGGATGCAACCGCATCGCGCCCTGGCGGCGGTCCCGGCCCGGCTGCTGCGCCCACGCCGGGCGGAGATCCATCTCGAGAGCGCACCGTCACCGAGCTCGAGCTGTGGCGGGTGACCTGCCACCCACCCCTTCCCATGGGGCGTGTTTTCTGTATCCGCGGACGCGTGACAGGGCGGACCTAGAAATCCACAAAGGACCACACGTGTCATGCGCAGTCGGAAAGGACGGGTTGCGTACATTGGAGGAGGAAGAGGAGGAGGAAGAAGAAGGAAGAAGAAGAAGAGACGGAGGAGTATGTACGAGGTGGCGGATTGGCAGATGTAACAAAAAGGGGGGGGAGGAAGAACGACGAGGACGAACAGCAGCAGCTGCAGCAGGAGCTGAAACGGAAGAAGCGGGAGGAGCAGGAGGATCAGGGGAAGGCGGAGAAGGGGAAGGCAAGGGGCGACAAGGATGAAGAAGGACTCGGATCAAAAAGGGTCTCCGGCGCATGGTGCAGTTCCAAACGATGGGAGCAATGCGCTGGTATCAAACTGGGGCCCGTGCTGCAGTGGCAGCATCGACGCCCCGATTGACCAGAAAAAACTTTGGGGGGCGGGTCATTCCCCAGACATCCTCACGGGAGAGAGGAGAGTAGTATTCATCCTGTGCCACTACAGAGAGGAGGGGAAGAAGAGGAGAAAATGAGGAGGAGGAGGAGGAGGAGGAGGAGGAGGAGGAGGGAGGAGCTCCTGCGCTACCGCCTTGCTCCTCTACCTTGTCCCTCTTGCCGAATGATGTTCGTTAACACCGTGAGCGTTCTGCCAGAATGTCTTAGAAGTGAGTTATCGGAGGCAGACCAGCTAGTTTTGTTCGCGCCATATCTGACATCCGACCCTTCCAACCCATCCCTTTCCGTGGCCTTCTTTTCTTTGTCCTCCGGCGCGTGCCAAAGCGGACTTGTAACTCCAAAAATGACTACGTTGTCTTTTGCGCAACAGGAAAAGACGGGCTGCGCACATTGGAGGGGGGGAGGGAGAAGAGTGGGAGGAGGAGAAAAGGAAGAGGATGAGGAAGGACGAGGACGAGGACGAATAGCAGAAGTAGGAGCTGGAGTTGAAGGAGCGGGGGGAGCAGGAGGATCAGGGGAAGGCGGAGGATGGGAAATGAGGGGGCCGAAAAGGATGAAACGGGACTCGGATCCAGAAACAGATCCCGCGCACGGGCGAGAACACGATTCTGAACATTTGGGGCAAAGCACCGATCCGACACAAGGCACCCGCTGCAGTGGGAGCTCCATTTTGAAACATTGAATACAATAATATTGCAAAACGCCGCAAAAAACATCAACACATGTTGAAATCCTGTGTCTAAGAAGCCGTGCGCGGATAGGGCTGAACGTCTGTCAGGGGGGAGAGGAGAGTAGCACGCATGATGTGCAATTGGGCAGCATGAGGAGAAGGAGGAGGAGGAGGAAAATGGAGGAGGAATTTGCAAAGTATGATGATGAGGAGGAGGAGGAGGAAGCAGGGGGAGGAGGGAGGGGGTGCGGATGGAAGAGGAAGATGGGAATGAGGGGAGGATGGGGGGGGAGGCAGACGACGACGAGGGTCTCCGCCCTTGCCCGTCCTGGCCTCTGACCCCAGCCCCCCCGCCCCTGCGTCTTGCCTGGCGCCTCCGGTGCTCGCAGGATCAGGCGATCAGCGGTGGTCTGCCTACGTGACGCCAGCCGAATGGGGCGTGCAGCTCTGACTCGGTTTGCTCTGCGCGGCTGGAGCGAACGTCGCCTTCTCTAGGTAATGGTGGGCACACTGACTTGCCTCATGCTTAGGCTCAGCCGCTCGGGCGCCTGACGATAGCTAGGTTCAGTTACGGTGATAGAGGGGTTTTCGCTGCTGCACAGGGCGCCTTGGCCCGAGACTGGTGCTCGTGGGGAGCTGCGCCGAGACGGGGGGAAGGACGAGGAGCGGCGTGGGAGAGGAAGCGCAGGCGTCGAAGCGGGCTGGCGCGAGCAGCGGTGCAGGAACGCCAGCAGGGGGCTGTCCGGCCGCCGTGCCGACACGCCGTGGAGAGGAGCCGCACGCGAAAGCGATCACGCCATCGCGCCCACCCTGACCTTCCAGAGAGCTATTTTTTAGCACTGGAGACCTAAAAACCTAAAACGCTGAGCGAAACTGCCTAAAACCAAGACGTAGAATAGCTCTGGGATAGGTTTTTAGGTCGCGTGCTATTTTTTAGCCCTCCTGGAAGGTCAGGGCAGTGTCGATCGGGTATGGCCAGGACCCCAGGCAAGGGGACCCGGTCAGTGCTAACGCCCCGGAGCCCCTGAATCGGCCAGGATCACTAAACCAGGTCTGCCATAGCTGGTGTTTTTTTCGGGTGGCGGCAGTTCTGGTCAGTGGAAATGGGGCGGGGGGGGCGCCACTGGTACAGATCACTAAACCAGGTTCCACTAAACCCAGTTCTGCCAACGCCCGAGTCGAGGGCGCACAAAACGCCCATACCTTGGTTTTCCAAGGCGCAGTCCCACGCATCCCCTGCGAGCTCACGGAGCGAAGGTTCTTTTCCGCGCGCAACGTTTTCGGGTCGGGCAGATCAAGCGAGACAGTTCGCGCTCTGAGGGCTCCAGCCGTAAGGCCAAGTGGCGCACCGGGTAGCGATTCGTCGGCGACATACGTCCGTATGGTCATGCAACCGGGCGGTAGTGTCAGCAATTCGGGCGCTTGTTATCAGGGCTAGCTTGCAAATCCAGCTTTGAGATTCAATGAAAGTTCTGCCCGTTTTACTCAGTGGGCCTCCCCTCCACCCACGCCCACGCAATGTGTCGCCGAAGTAGGCCCTTCGTCGATGTCGTAAAGCGCCCGCAGCGTTTCCTGAAGCGCCCGCTGCGATTACTACACCGACCGTGGTGTTGATTGAAACGGCGGCTTGCCCTGCACCTCCAGGTCTCGAGCTGGTGAATCGTGTATGGTTTGTCGTCTGGGCCTGTCGTGAAGACGACAGGTTTGAAGCTCGGCGATTGGGTCCTTACACGCTCCGCTGCTCGCACGTGAGCTCAGCCGTCCGCTCGCGACGTCTGGGCGGTGCTCGCGAGGCAGTGCCAAAAGGGCAGGAGACAGCTTGCCAGGCGCCCCCGGGAGGTGCGCGGCGCGCCTCACGGGCAAGCCGAAGAAGGGGTGCGCCTTCTGCTCACTCAGCAGTCCACGTCGTAGGAAACGCTGGCTGGCTGGCCCCACTGCAAATCCCCCTGAGCAGGAGACCACCGCTGGCCCTGCGTGCGCTGGAGGGCGCTGCAGGAGTCGCGGGGAGTTGAAGAAAGGAAGAAAGCGGGGGGAAGCGAGGCGGCCAGATGCCTCACGAGCTCTTTCGGAAGTGTCCTTCTTTCCTGGTTCTCTTCCAGCCCCTATATATACATATATATATATATATGTATGCATCGCATCACCACGCGCGTCGACAGGGCGGGCCGTGCGATTCGCTTGGACTCCCACACCTTGTATGATCTTGAAGCTAGAAGTGCCCAGCGGTTACAGGGAACAAGGGCGACCCGTTTTCAACACGTGGTTCTCGCAGCAGCGCCGCGCACATCCGTTTTCAAACAATTCTGACAGATTCACGGATCGAGGGAGGCCCGTAAAGTTACAAGAATGGAGGGCGGCTGCTTTGTCAAAATGATTTCAGCGTGGCACACCCGCTTATCGAATATGCCAGAACTTTGGAGTGGCGTGGCAGCTACACGGATGGAGGCGGGTGTGTTTCCAAAATGTTCTGGGTTGAGACGTCAAAGCGCGTAACCAAAAAACGTGCACAGGCGCCAACGTCACATGGGTGTGGGGACGCGTTCAAAAATAGGATTTTCTTGTTTCGAAATTGATGGTCCTACCTTTTTGCATCCACTAAACATAGCAGGATGCAGGGTTGTTCTTTCTGTAAAAGGCCCTCGCCTGAATGGCAGACCCATACGGGGCGCTCGTCTGTCATGGGGATGCATCCCATGGTGGAGAGGAATGCTGCATGGGACTTGTGAGGATGGGTGCTCGGGACGGGATGGTGACTTGCAGCATCGGGCATGCATCCTTGGCTGTCTCTGTTCCGCCTCCTCCTGTCTCGAGGAGGCGGCCCAGTGCGAGTGCCAGGCCGCGTCGCGGTGCCTCCTCGGGAACCCGCGCGGGGGGGATCCGTGCCTCCTCTGCCCAGCTGCTCCACAGTTCCCAGTACACGTTCTGAGTGATCAGGTAAAGAGGAGACGTACCTCCATCCGAGACGTTGTTGAGCCTCCGGGTGCCCGCACCCGCCGCCAGGGCAGTTCGTTCTCGTGGGGCGGCGACCCGCTCGTGATAGAGGGGGGCGAGTACCTCCTCTGCTGGTGCGGCCCGGCGGCCGGGACCGCGACGGGCACTGGGATCGGGGCAGCAGTGCGCGTTGGGTTGTTGGTGGCGGGTAACGCGGGCGGGGGGCTTCTTAGCAGGGAACGGTCAAAAGCAGGATGAGCACGGGTCTGTTCTACGATCCCTACCCAATGCTTCCACCCAGTGCTCTGCTAGCGCATGGGCGCACGCAGTCTGGTATGCGAAGGGAAGGTTCCCCCGAACGCAACAAGATTGGCCCGATCTGGTTCACATTCTCGTGTGCTTCCTCCTCCCTCCTTGTTCTCATCCTCCTCATTATCATCTCAAGCTTTTCTGGTCCTTCCTCCTCATCCTTCTTCTCCTCTTGCCACCCACTGCCACCCCCTCTCCCTCCTCTTTGACTCCGCACCCTTCCCCTTCTCCTGCACCTATCCCAACCCTCTTCAACTTCCTTCAGCTCCCACCCTTTCCAAGTAACGCCTCCTGGCCGCACCACCAGACAGATCGGTAGTGTGGTTTATTTTTGGTGTCTGCGCCTCTCTGATATGTGATGTCCCTGAAGCTTGGATCTCTTGGCAGTTATGCAGATGGAGAGTGGCTCATTTTAAAAGTCGTGCCTCTGCAACGTACACCATGTGGCCGGGGGGGCGCTGGCCAGCGTTGGCAAATGTAGCCCCATACGTCTCACCATGGCCTTGCTCACATCGGCATGGAATACATGATGAACACTTGTGTGACACATTTGAGGCCAGTGGTCTTAATTGTCGGAGGATTGTTGGGAGAGGGCGGCCATTCAGACGTGACGGCGCTTCCAACATGATCTTGCTACCAATTCCCGATGCTGGAGTCATTCCCCGCGAGTCCTGGTGGCACTCGATTCTCATGAACTCCAGCGCTGCCTCGAAACATGCCGTTCTTAAATGCCTTACATATCGGCCCCAGGAGAACAGTCAAGACGCTAGAATAAGGACCGCTTTTGGCTCAGGAGGGGCTCGGATTGTTGGGCCGCTCCTTAGATTGCTGTCGTGGAACTTGTTTTTGGCCTAGGCCCGCCGTGTCCAGAAAAGTCCCCACGTTCCCTATGATGCGATCTTTATTGTAGCACGATGGCTGCACTGCGCTTCCTGCTGCCAGGGATAGCAGGGCTGGACAATTGCGCGCTCGCTCATCGACTACACGTAGGAGTGACCCTTCGCCGGAGTGACTTTTGATGCGGGCCCAGTGGGGTCCCCCGATCGCCGAACGTGATGCGGTAGCAGCGGCTTGCGCGTCCAGGTTTGGCCACCCCGCGTCCCCCGTTTTTAGCCGCGCACCAGAGGTCACCCTTACCCAGGGCCGCTCTTGCGTGTGGCTGCTTTGTGCGCTCGCTCATCACCAGATCGCCGTCTTACGAGGGGCCGCCTCGAGCGTCTGGGGACGCCCCGCGAACAGCCGAGTGCTGTGGTGTGCCGGCGATGGCCGTGAGAGGCAGGAGCGGGCGAGGCCCGCTGAGAAGTTCCTTGCTTCGGGGGCGGCCAAGATGGGAGGGGGGTGTTGGCATGGGGGGGGGGACATCATGGCGGGGGCCATGATATCTCCCCAGATTTCATGGCGCCTCTCCTTCTTCTGGTACGTCCCCGCCCCCCCCCTGGGCCGCTGGCCATGATATGCGCCCCCTCCTCTTGGACACCCCTCTCTTGGAAGCCTCTCGTACCACGAAATTCTAGGCTTCCCAACTGAGACTTGAGCAGATCGGGTCGGAGGATCGCGTCGCACCGCCAATGCATCAGCGATGCGGCTCTATGTGCAGCCCGATGTTATCCACGCCGATGGCGCCGATGCATCGCCAACGTCGCCGATGCATCTCCGACACATCGCCGATGCATCGCCGATGCATCTATAGGAGGGCTCTGACATTCTCCCACTCCCACTCCCGGGAGGTTTAATTCAGAGTCGGCGCCGGTTATACCCGCTGGCGAAGAAGGCAAAGTCCCGCTGATTCCGCCAGATTCCTTTTGATCCGGATCAGTCGGGCTTTATCTTTAGCTTCATTTGGGTCAGCATCCTGCTCGCGCCCAGTTGCTCTCGATCGTTCCCACGAGGACCTCCCGTTGCAGCTTGCCTTGGATTTTCCTTAGGTTTTCGATGCGAAATCGAAGTTTAACTTATGGAGAATAGGGGCCTCGCTCCTTATTTAGGGTTCCTTAGGTCAACGCCTCGGCTGTGCATCCTTCCGTTCTTCGTGGGCGAGCAACCCATCCGTATCCGCGGCCTCGCGGGCCGAGCCCCTGGGCCGCGACCCCGCGGACACGGCACGCTCTGTTCGTGGACGTCCCGTGCGGAACGTACCCGCGCGACTGCGTGCTTGAGGCATCGTGCCCCGGTCGGGTGTTGCTAGAAGTGCCCCTGGGCCAAGGTGCCCCCAGGATTCTCGGGGCAGCCCAAACGGCCTCCAAAGCACCCCTCACGAGGCCCAGAGGGCCCCAGGGGGTGCAAGATGGAGCGAAAAGCTGGGGGCACCTCAGGCCAGGGGTACTTCTAGCAACACCCGACCCGGAATCCGGACTGCGGGCGCGCGGCCGCGGATCTGCTCGCCGCTCGTGCGTCCTCGCCCTGGTGGCCGCTGCGGCCGCGGTCGCTGGCCGCGGCCGCGGCCGGCGCCGCCGTGGCCCGCCCCAGGAGCGACGAGCCGTGCCCAGCGGTGCGCCCGGTCGGCGGCGCCGGCTTCCTGGCGCCAGGCGCCGCCCGCGCGCGGCGCCGGCCCGCTGGGCTGCGGCGGCTTCGGCCACGGCGCGTCGGCGGCGGCGCCGGCGGCTCCGTCGGGCCCCTCTGCGGCGGCGGCGGCAGCGCCGACACCTCTCGACCGTCTTCGGTTCTCGGGCGTTCTCGGTTCTCGCCGCAGTTTTCTCTAGCGTTTTCTTCGGTTGTCCACGGTTTTGTGGCCTCGGGATGCGTTCCAGCAGCTGCGCCTCGCCGAGGGCGTTCGAGGGCTGCCCAGATCCTGCTGAGCGGCCGCCTGAGACCCGATCTGCGGCCCGATAACCTCGAGGATCAGAGGACAACGAGTCGAGACAGCGGAAGTTTGCCTTCGGTGGGGCACCTCGTCGCCACGGCTGGACGCAGCTCGGAAAGTTGGTGCGTCTGTACGCTGGGAGGGGTCCCGGGACCGATTTTGAGCTGCCGTTGTCTCAACTCGCTTTGCTCCTAGCCTCCTCGACCAATTGTGAGCCTTACTCCTGCGTGCCCAATCGACGCTGGGATGTCGGACACCCCCGCTGGGGTTCACCCCACCCGGGGTTCACCCGGGGTTCACCCCACCCAGGGTTCACCCACTGGGGGACACCCTTGCGGGCATCCTTGGAGTTCTGAACCCCAGCCAGCACGCCAAGAATCTGACCCGCAGGGTTAGGGCTCACACGTGGTTGCCATGCGCAGGCGACGGCTCCTTCTCCTCCTCCTCCTCCTCCTCCTCCTCCTCCTCCTCCTCCTCCTCCTCCTCCTCCTCCTCCTCCTCCTCCTCCCCTACAAACCTCTCAGGGAGTGGCTACGGTGGGCTTCCCTCGTCTTGAGGGAGGCACGGCCTGGAGGGTAGCGCGAGCAGCGCAGCCCCAGGTGATGACGCATACATGCGTGTCGAGTCTTCGCCAGTCGTGCGTGCTCGAGCAATGTACTGTCTCTCTCTTGGGCTGGTCCCTTGCGTCTCGACTGTCTTGAGGCGCCGTCTCATCTCCTCCTCCTCCTCCTCCTCCTCCTCCTCCTCCTCCTCCTCCTCCTCATAATCATCATCATCCTCATCCTCATCCTCTCCGCATCCTCCTCCTCCTCTCCCTCCTCCTCCTTCCTTCTTCTCCTCCTCCTGCTGCTGCTGCTCCTTCTCCTCCTCCTCCTCCTCTCCTCCTCCTCCTCCTCCTCCTCTCCTCCTCATCTTTCTCCTCCTCCTCCTCCTCCACCTCCTCCTCCTCCTCCTCTTCTCTCGTCCTCCTTCCTCCTCCTCCTCCTCCTTCTCCTCCTCCTCCTCCTCCTCCTCCTCCTCCTCCTACGACCCTGGAGCTTGCGACCCTCCAGCACCACGAGATCGACACAGACAAACAGGACGCCTACATGGGCAGAGGAAGAGGATATGCCATCAAGTGGGTCAGGACCTCGGCCACGCCGGCGCGAGCGCACCTCCGAGACCCACACCTCGAGTGGTGGCACATTGCGGTGACGCTCCTCAAGCGCTACGAGATGCTCAGGCGCACCGACAGGATCATAGAGGCCGCCAGCTGCAACGGCAAGATAGTCGAGATCATGCAGAAGGCCGAGGAGATGCAGATCCACGAGGTGTTCAACAAGGACGACGGCGAGGAGTTCAGAAACTGGAAGGCCATGATGAGGACGCTGCAGGACATCCCCGTCGAGGATGTGATCCCCGTCATCGAGACCAGCGAGAGGTACCAAGGGAGGGCCGTCGGGCAGGCACTCACCAAGTCGAGGAAGGCCTACCAGAGCTGGGCAATCAAGATGTGGAATGAAGCTCCGCGGCACCTCCACAACATGGTCAAGGATCCGAGACCTGAGACAGTTGAGAAGATCCAGCAAGGGAGATCCGTGGCGGACCCTGACCAGATCATGAGCAACCGAGCTGACGAATGGGAAAAGCACTGGGCCGACCCCAGCGTGACCCCCGACCAGATCCTCGACGGCATCCACATGGTCATGGGCCGCGCCTGGCAGCAACCCTTGGCTCCGCTCCAGCTGCAGCAGCTGGACCGCCTGCTCCCCGCCATCACAGCCACCAAGGCCAAAGGGATCGACAACATCGGGCCGCTGGAGGTGCAAAGGCTCCCGACTGAGGGGAGGCAAGGAATGACCGACCTCCTCAATGACATCGAGGAGGTCGGAGCGTGGCCAAGGCAGATGCTCGCGACCATCGGATCTGTTGTGCCCAAAGAAAAGGGAGGGGGCGACAGGATCCTAGGCCAGCTCCCGTTCGTCATGAAGACGTGGAGCAAGCTCAGGGGCAGCATCACGAGCGAGTGGAGCGTCAATCTGAGCGAGTTCTGGGACACAGCAATACGAGGCTCGTCGGCCCTACGGGCCAGCATCCTTCGAGCCACTCTTGACGAATCAGCGAAAGAAATGGGAATAACCACGGCCACTCTACTGTTAGACCTGGCCAAGTTCTACGACAGCATCAGCGTGGTCAAGCTTGTGCAGCACGCGCTGGAGCAAGGATACCCGCCCATCGTGCTCTGCCTTGAGGTTCAGATGCACCTGGCGCCGAGGCTGCTGAAGGAGCGGCAGTGGGTCAGCAGGGAGGTCCAGCCGTGGCGCTCCATCCTGGCTGGCTCTCCAGAGGGTGTACGGCTGGCCAAGGCCTTCATGGGGCCCATCCTCCACCGTGCGCAGCTCACGAAGCAGGCGGACATAGGCCTCTGGACGTTCGTAGACGACACGGTCCTGCGCTCCCAAGGCACCGAGGCCAACGTGGAGAAGCAGCTGATCGACAACGGCGCCATGCTGGGCGAGTGCCTCAAAGAGGCGGGCCTCACGGTCTCCCCGAAGACCACGGTGATAGCAAGCTCTCCGAAGCTGGCCATCGCCATTGCAAAAGGCCTCCAGCAACGCGGCGTACCCGCCAAGGCTGAGGGCAACTTCACTGACCTGGGCGTGGACTGCAACGCCGCGAGCATGCGCACACGACGCAAAGGCAGACAGAGAATGCAAAAGGCCGCCAGGCGAGCCCACGCCATCAGGAGGATGCGCAGGATGGCAAGGCTCAAAGTTGCGACCAAGGGCCTCTGGACGACAGGAGCTCGAGCACAGGGCACCTACGGCCACCAGGTGCAGGGCCTGCCGCACTACGAGATCCTCAGGCTGAGGAGGCAGGCGGCGCAGGCGGCAGCAGGGCGCGGGCCAGGGCGGTGCCTCACCAGCACCCTCGCCATGCTCTACGGCAGAGGTGATCCAGCCATGAGCATCCCGCGAGAGCAGCTGGCGGCCTGGCTGGACCAGTGGTTCGCCCACCCCGAGCTGCACGCCAGGATCGCCAAGGCCTGGCAACCGTCGCTCAGGAGGCTCCGTCTGGCGGGTGAGAGCCGCTGGAGGAGAGTGCGTGGGCCAATATCGGCCACAGTGGCGACCCTCCTTGATGCAGGATGGGACCCTGTCGACCACGACTTCTGGGTCACGGACGAGGACGTGGGCTGGCGGTTCCCCAGCCCCGACCAGCCGAGCTTCGCGGAGGCGGCGGCGGACTACGTGGAGCTGCTCCTGGACTTCGAGCGGTCCATCGACAGGAAGCTCTGGAAGCAGGCAGCGCTGCACCAGGGATCCTCGGACATCGAGGGCGGCTCCGACATGCTCATGATAAGGAGAGAGATGCAGCAGTTCCAGAAGCGGGGGGACGACGACCTCTGGGCGCTCGACGTGGCGGTCGTCGCAGCGGGCCAGTGGACCAGGCAGAGGCGCGCGGAGGCCGGCTACGAGGCTCCTGACGCCTGCCCCCGCTGCGGCCAGGCGGCCGACTCTCTTTTCCATCGTGTTTGGGTGTGCGCCTGTAATCAGGGCCACCCCGATTTCGAGAAATCCGATTACCTCGTCCCTCGGGCTACCGCGTGCCACGAGGCATGGCCTTCGTACTGGCTGCGAGGGCTGCCGAGTGTCGAGGCCACGTCCCCCTCCTTCGACCTCGACCTCCCTCCCCACCGCTCCGAATTCGGTGATTTCGCGAGTGTCCCCAGAGACCCCGACGGGTTCCTCACGGCGTTCGGGGACGGCTCTGGTGGAGAGCACTCCTCGGACCCCCGCCGCAGGAGAGTTGGCTCTGGAGTTTGTGCCCTCGAAGCTCTCCCAGCAGGTGGATGGACCCCGTCGGCGGGGATTGTTTGTAGTCTTGGGGGTACCCGTCAGACTGTCCCGAGGGCCGAGCTTGCGGCCTTCGCCGAGGCCCTAGAATGCACGAGTGGGCCGCTCAGGTATGTCACTGATCATCGGCCCCTCCAGGGCGGCTGGAACAGAGGTCGGCATCTCTCCCCGTCGTTCAGTTGTTCCAATGCCGACCTCTGGTTCAGAATAGGCCGAGCTGTGAGAGCTCGTGGCCCCGACCCCGTCCTAATCGAATGGACCCCATCCCACCGTGAGTCGGAAGACATACGCTCGTCCAGAGACTTGTGGTGGGCGGTGGGCAATGAATGTGCAGATGAGCTGGCCTCCCGAGGAGCGTCAGTTGCATGGTCTGAATTTGTAACGAGTGTACCCCACACTGATGCGGTGGATGCCGAGACCTTCCTGATCCGACGCAGGGCGCGGAGGGCCCTGGCGGAGGCCATCCGTGCGGACCCGTGGACCGAAAATCGTCCCTCGGCCCCCCGCCCCGTTCGGATCCCGAGACTCGAGCTGGCCATGAGAGCCTCACAGCACGAGTGGAGAAGGCTCGGCACGAAGTTTTACTGCCGCAAATGCACGGTTTTCGTGAACCGCTCGAGGTTCTTCGCGGCAGCCCCGACAGTGTGTGCTAACAGAGCCCCTCCCCCTGGAATCGCGGCCTTAAACGGCCGACGGGTCCTGGGAGGGCAGGTTTTAGACGAGTCCCACGCCTTACAGTACTGGGGGGAATTCAAACTCGTCTTTTGCAGTATGTGCGGTCTTACGGCCACCACAGACCCCAGGCACCTCTGCAAACCGTGTGTTGCACCCACCCCGAAGGGGAGGCAGAATCTGGCGAGGATAAGGAGAGGCCTTCACCCTTGTGTGAAGGGCCCCCCCCAAGATTGTTACAGAGGCCAATCTTGAAGACCTCCGCCAGTAATTCACGTGTGTCGACGTTCGTTGTCGTCAGCCCACTAGTCCACTAGTCCTCCTCCTCCTCCTCCTCCTCCTCCTCCTCCTCCTCCTCCTCCTCCTCCTCCTCCTCCTCCTCCTCCTCCTCCTCCTCCTCCTCCTCCCCCCCCCGTCCCTTCATCGCCCCCCTCCGCCTTCCCGTCGGGGAGCAGGGGGAGGAGGAGGAGGAGGAGGAGGAGGAGGAGGAGGAGGAGGAGGAGGAGGGAGAAGAGGAGGAGGAGGACCAGGGCAAACCTACGAATCCAGGATACGTCATCGACGCTGCAATATACCCTCCCGTCCCACGCCCGCCCCTCGGAAAGTCCAAGCAGGCATTCATCTGGTGACTGGGGAAAGATCATGCAAGCCAACTTGAAAGACTAGCGCCCTGTGGCCTTGCAGTTGAGGTCGGAGCCCCGTCCAGACGAGGATCCACCCTCAGCCCGTGCTGCTGCGCAAAATTGCAACAGCACGTAGGACCATACAAATCATTGAGCTGTCCAGCCATAGCCAGATTGTGATCAGAAGCCATTCTTTACCAGAGCACTTATTGCACAATGTCCGACCCCTGGTTTCACGCGGCAAGGGACTCTCAAGCTAGACCCTCAGTATGAAGAGGAGCAGCGTTGCGTCCAGACGAACGTTGTACTTCATGAAACATTTTGCCATCGTATGTGAACATGTATCGAGCGAGAGCCAGTTCTTCCCCCAAACATCACATGTTGAGTTGGATCTTCGTTTTGAAGTCCGCAATGCCCTGCATCCTCCCCCCTCCTCCCTCCTCCCATCCCTGTCTCTGCCCTCCTCCGCACCCTCGCCCCCTGCGCCAACCGTCCTCCTGGTCGTCATCGTCATCATCATCGCCACCATTATCATCGTCATCATCGTAATCATCATCGACATCGTCATCATTATCATCGTTATCACTGTGATCAGCACCATGATAATCGATCACTTGTCGGCACACCCCACACGCTTTTCGTGGCTATACGGGGGCTCCGATGATCCAGTCGCAGTGCCCGCATGGCGCTCCCGCCTCTACCTGGGCGCACTCCTCACGCGCTCCAGGCCGCCATTGCAGAACTCCCACGAAAGCCAAGTGGCAGTGCACGTGTGGCGCATCCGGCTCCAAGTCGACACGCCACTCACACGCTTCATGGGCCCGTAGGGAGCTCCCCCGAAGGCCCCACTGGCAACGCCCGCGTGGCGCCCCCGCCCCCAGTTTGGCACACCCCTCACACCTTTCGTAGCCCCCATGGGGTGCGCGCGCCCGAAGGCCCCAGTGGCAGCGCTTCGGGGCTTCCTGGGGTGCTCCAACGCAGGCCCCCGCGGCAGCGCCCGCGTGGCGCACCCGCCTCCAGTTCGGCAGACCCCTCGCACGTCCTGTGGCCCCGCAGGGGGCTCCCCCGACACTCGGCATCGCTCGGACGTGTGCATTTTGTTTCTCGCCGAGGACCCTGGAGGAGCATCCTGGACCATGGAGCAAAAAAAAAAAAAACACGCACGAAACCGAAAAGTGCACGGGACGTGGACGTCCGAGCGACGGCAAGGACAGCCCCCCTGGGCAGCGCCCGAAGAGCTCCCCCCGACGGCCCCCCGGTGCGCTGCTGCTGGGCCGCGCTGCGGCGCGTGGCCACAGGGGCGCACCTCGTGCGCGATGCCCTCTGTGGGCCGTGCTGCGCCGCCCGGCCCCGAAGGGCTGCCCCCCGTGTGTGCTCGAGCTCGGGGGCGGCGTGATGACTAGGGGGGGGGGAAATCATGGCGGGGGCCATGATATCTCCCCAGATCTCATGGCGCCCCTTCCCGTTTCAGTACGTCCCTGGCCCCCCCGCTGGGCCGCGCACGTGCCGCCGGTCATGATCTGCACCCCCCCCTCTTGAACACCCCCCTCTTGGCCGCTCCCGACTTGAGCGGGCGACGGATTTGCCGCCCGCGGGCGCCCAAGAGAGCGCTCTCCGAGCGCGCGCTCGCCAGTCGGTCATGCCCCCCTTCTGCACTTGTCCGCCCGTGTCCTCATTGTCCACGGCCCAGTCCGCTCGACCCTCCTTCTTGACCGCCTCGTGGTTGGGTCCTGTGCCCGAGTAAATGTGAGAAAAGGTATGAATACGCACCGCCTCCATCCGTATGAATGTTGAAAGTTGTGAAGGCGAACGTGTGCGGCGCAAAGGCGGGAAAGCCATGTGTCAAGCACCACCTGCTCTCCACCCGTTCATGTAGTCGATGCAAAAATTCAGAACGTGTGCGGCGCGAGTAGTAGGGCTGCATATGGGGAACAATCCGGCCTCCATCCGTGTAGATGCTGTCTAAATGACCCACGCTTGACGTTCGCCCCCTCAGCCCATCCAAAAACGATTCCCGCGCGAGTTGCGTAGACCAGAGTGTTGTTGGAACATGCAGCGGAGCAAAGATGCTGGGCAGTGGTCAAGTCGAAGCTCGGGATCAGCCTGAGCAAACCCAGGAGTGACCACTAATTGTTATCGCAGCTCTTTCGAAGAATGGCGAGTAGAAGGAAGGACATGGTGGAGGAGGAGGAGGAGGAGGAGGAGGGAGAGGACGGAGCGGAGGAGGAGGAAGAGGAGTAGGAGGAGTATGAGAAGGAGCAGAGAGAAAGGGATCAACAAATGACGAGGAGAGATGGGCGAGCAGATAGAAGAGGAATTTGACAGAACAAGTGCTCACTCGACCTCTGGTGAAACCGAGAAGGAGAGAGGTGGCGGAGGAGGATGTGGAGGAGGAGGATGAGGAGGAAGAGGAGGAGGAGGAGGAGGAGGAGGAGGAGGTGGAGAAGGAGGAGGAGGAGGATGGGGGAGGACGGCGACTACGACATGAGTCAGCCATAAAGGCCTGCGCGGATCTTTCGTTCTGGGAGGCTCGTCGAGATCTTGTGGAACAAGATTGTGGCCCTTCTGGGGACAGATGAGGAGCTTCTGGGGCACCTGGGGGACCTATATAAGGCCATGCGGACATTCTTGGGGCCATCCTAGAGGCCTTCGATCAAAAAAGGGCACGGCACTAGTTGCAGTCGGTTTGTCGGGGCCCTAAAAGTTAGGGCTCTTTGGGGTCGCCGGACGCTCTCGGGGCAGCATAGGGGCTTGTATGGCCCCCTCTTAGGGCTCTTGTGTATGGTCTTGGAGTTATCCTGAGGCCTCAGAGGCCCAAAGGAAGCGTCCGCTTGTGCTCGACGTTCGCTGTCTCCGCGCATTCTCCTAAGCGCTGGCGGGATCTGTCCCATACGCGTTGCGAGGAAGAAAACGGCGTTCATTGGCGGCCTCATCCCGATGCCTTTTAACCTAGCCTTCGGCGTGTGGCGGCATCCACGTTTTGGCGCCAGCTGAGGTGGCGTGCTGTCCGCTCCCATCTAGCGAAATGGAGACTGCACCATTCATACAAAACACTTACCAATGTTTGGCTTCTTGGGGCCGTCCAGGGGAGGCTCCGAGGCCACTTGGAGCCATCTTGGGCTTGTACGGGGGTCTTTCGCACGCATGTACGGCCGGAATGGCATACTTTGACAAGTTTGCGCCACAATGGACACCACGTCGGAGTATCTGGGGCAATTTTGGAGGAAGCTAGGCCCCCAAACCTCTCAATCATGCCCCGAGAGGCTGTTCAGAGGGTTGGAGTGAGGGGGGAAGCGCAGCACCGATTAGACCCCCCCTGTCGGATTCCGGGCCGCATACTCTTTGGGGGTCTGTTGGAGCGCTATTGGGGGCATTCCTGGGCGCCCTGCCGGGGCTCTCTTGGGCGGTCTTGCGCCTATCGGAAGCGAAACGGCGAGAAGCACACAACTCAGACACAAACACAGCCAGTGCTCGAAAGAGGAACCTGGCTTCTTGTGCGTATCCATGGGAAGCTCCGTGGCCACCTGGAGAAGTCTTGGGGAAGTCTTCGAAGCCCCAAGAAGGCCCCTTTTCTGCGGCTTCGGAAGACAACGAGTACGAAGATGTCCACATGCTTTAGATTGTTTTTTTCATTGCCACTTCCATGGACAGGGCGTGCGAAATGGCTCAACCACCTCCCAAGACCGCGCCAACACAGCCCCCGAAAAAGCCGGAATAGGGTCAGCCGCAAGACGGCACAGGAGGAAAGTCAGACGGCCCAAGACGGCCACATGATGGCTCTCAAGGGCTTGAG